ATAGGACAAAAAATTTTTTCGGGCCTTGTATAAAGTCGCTACCGCAAAATGTCTGTCTACATGAGACTGTAGTTTAGTGGACATCAGTAGGACCAGTACAGTAGCTGCTGTTTTAATTTAAAATTTTTTAGGCTCATTTGTATCAGTGGGAAAAGAAATTTGGAAGGTTGAGGTTTGGGGTTATGGTTAGGGCTAAGATCAGTGTAAGGAAAGGACAAGGGTCAGTTTCACAAACATAACTATTTCATTATTAAAACATTATCCACAATAAATTGATTGCATTATAACAGTACCCTTAAAATATCACATTAAAATAACTGGTCTTTGATAGAGAAAACAACAAATAAGATCACTTACACTGTATTGCATCTGTCAGATTGTAATGATTTTGCAAATTGGTTCAGAATAAGACTTACAGAGCATTAATTTATAAGGACAAGAGAACATGATGGCAAATATATTTATAGTATTAAATAAATTAGTACATGCACCCTGTGCGAAATTATATGTTACATTGACTTTATACATAAATGTTTGTCTTTGATCAGATATGCTGTGCAATAATTGTGATACGACTCTTAGTTTCAACTGATTAAGCAAAGATGACTACATCTTCTTAATCTGTCAGCAAAAGATGACTGCATCTTTCTGACACAAGAGTGTCCACTAAAAGAATTCTCACAATTTTTATACTGTACAACAGCAATATATTTTTTATGTCTTGAACAGTAGTTGATGGTAAAATTATAATATATATATTGGAGTTTTCTAGGTACTTTTTATTTAGATATAATTTGCTGTGTAATATAATCATCAGAAAACTTTCAGCTTCAACTGATTAAGCAAAGATGACTACATCTTCTTAATCTGTCAGCAAAAGATGACTGCATCTTTCTGACACAAGAGTGTCCACTAAAGGAATTCTCACAATTTCTATACTGTACAACAGCAATATATTTTTTATGTCTTGAACAGTAGTTGATGGTAAAATTATAATATATATATTGGAGTTTTCTAGGTACTTTTTATTTAGATATAATTTGCTGTGTAATAATCATCAGAAAACTTTCAGCTTCAACTGATTAAGCAAAGATGACTACATCTTCTTAATCTGTCAGCAAAAGATGACTGCATCTTTCTGACACAAGAGTGTCCACTAAAAGAATTCTCACAATTTCTATACTGTACAACAGCAATATATTTTTTATGTCTTGAACAGTACTTGATGGTAAAATTATAATATATATATTGGAGTTTCAAGCTACTCTCATTTAGATATAACTTGCTGTGTAATAACCATCAGAAAACTTTTAGTTTCAACTGAATAAGCAAAGATGACTACATCTTCTTAATCTGTCAGCAAAAGATGACTGCATCTTTCTGACACAAGAGTGTCCACTGAAAGAATTCTCACAATTTTTATACTGTACAACAGCAATATTTTTTTATGTCTTGAATACTAAAATTATTTTATGGTATAATTTATTGTGAAATTAGAGTAAAAGTTTACCTCTCAATTAGTATTTATATATGCATTGTTAGTAAGGTAGAAAAATGCATTTAGTGATTATACATAATTGTTTACATACTCTCTGAAATAAACAATGGAGACATTTGTAAATCCTACCGGTGATGGTACAGAAACATTGATTTCCTCAATGTGGCGCTTTGTGGTGTTATTTCATTCGATTTAATGATAGCGCTAGAAGGCGCGCGCGGCATGTAATTTTGGCGGGAGATTGAACCGGTATGGATTTGTCTAGTTTATTTAGACATTCTCGAGCGCGAGCATAGAAGATTGATATGTCTTTCCATTCGAACGGACGTGGCTCTAGGTCGTTTTCTGTTGATGTTGTTTGATGGCTGTTCGCCGTCGCGGTCTCTGAAATCAGCGATATTAACCTTTTGTACTTCGCTGGAGAACAATCAGAATGTCGCGCTTCCTTCGTGCTTTCCACCAGATTTCGGATATCCAAAAAGCAAGTCATTGTACGCATACCAATTCTTGCTATAGTCTAAGCAATGCAAATATACTCGATAGTACATTTCGCAAGTTGAATTGACTAGTCGCGCTCAAGCGGCTCAACAACTTCGCGTTTTACTCCTAAATGCGGCGTTGACAATCGTGTTTAGCTATTAAGAATTAATAAATTATTAGCCAGATCGAGTATCAAATTACACTTGCGCGAAATAAAGGAGCAAGTTAATTCAATTTCTACATGTCAACCTCAAACACCTACCAAACAGATGCCATGGGAACGAACACTTTTTGCCTTAATTTTTTCACACATTGTGCGGGTCCTCATGTAATGCCAGAATGATTGTACTTGTTTTACTGAGAAAGCTCTTTTTCAGCATAGTGGTTAACTAAAAAATCTTACTAGTGCAACATCTAAGTGCAACATACTAAACAAATTCCAGATGATATATATTTCTCAGTAAGGTTACTCTGTAGCTACATAGGAGTTAATTTATTAACAGAATCGAACATTTCTGAAAGATTAGATAAGGGCCTTTAGTGGCTCTGCAAATTTGGATTTTAAAAAGGATTTGTGGCAACTTTTTAGCATATGAATATCTGGGCATGTCTTTGTCAACACCAAAATCTACAAAACAATATCTCACAAATATATTAATATGCTTAATAGCTTGTGATTGTAAAATCAAAATATGCAAGGATAGCTCAAATAGTGTTATAAATTAATGGTGTTTGACATGTGAATTAATAATTGATAATTGATTGCTGAATCGATTCAGTTTTAATGACTGGTAGTAATGTTTATCATGATTCATTCTATTTATGGCATGTGTCATACTCCAAATTGATGCATAAAACAAATACCCTGTCATGATTGTGATATTCTTTCTTATTAATGTCCAATATATTTTATTAATACATTTGACTATGTAAACATACACAATTTTGTATATGAAGAATTTTACTATAAAGCAGAAATATTTAGCACTGTTATTAGTTTTAATTATTGTTCTGATTAGTTGCAATGTCTCAAATGTATTTAATACAATATAACAACACTATATAAGTGGGCTTTAACCAAATAATGTACAAATGTAAAATATACAGTGTCATTAACATACTAACTCGGTATATAAGCACACTGGAAAATGCTAATACATCTTAATAACAACTCTGAACAATGTTGGCAGCACAACATTGATCAATCCTGTTCATACAATATTGCATCAACCTGGTTACTATATTAGTTTGACAAAGTATTGAGATCAGTACTATTAGTTTTAAATAGTGTATCTGTGAAACGCACATTGTGGGAGCTCCCACAAGTTTGTGTCTTACCTTACGCGGACTTAGCACATTGTGTGGCCTCAGAGCGAGTCCACAGAATGTTTATCAAGATTTTTCATCTGAAAATGAGGATCCTAATGAAATTTCCTCAATCGCATTGAAAAACACAACTCGAACAGTTCAGGACATATCAGAAAAGTCGAAAAAAACAAAAAAATAGCGAATTATATAAGAAAAACAAAGTCTTCCCACAATGACATTTCACAGGTTCAGTGTAAAAAATGTGTATAAAATGCGACTATCATTGTGGTAACTTGTACAAGAATTTTTCCATAATGTGGACTTGCATTTTATGTCCACACAGTGCTACACCTGTAATACACGAGGACCGCACAATGCTTCTGCTTTGTGCATGACTTATACACAATTTTATTCAGCTAGCATGGCAGTCATTAAGACATTATACATGTTTCGATCAATAATGAAATGCTGATATTATCTTCCCTCGCAGCATGCCAAAAGGGACCTTAAGCATGTAGGACGGGGGCACGACGACGATGTTATCAATACAATAGGTCACTGAAAATAAATAAATATTTAGCCCTATATTGTTGACGTGCATCTCGATTTCAGCGATTTTTGTTGGTCAGGATGATTTTTTGAGCACACGTAGCATAGTACTGCGGTTTCATCCTATACGAATGCGTAATATACGCGATCTCAACTCGGGAGAATTGACGATATAATATTGTATAGTTAATCATTATGTAAACAAGATTAAGTTTTTGACGCACAATATTGCCATTACTATCTGGAAGTACTACGTGTATTCACTCACAGCGTTTTACTTATTTGTAATTCTAGTTGTGGGAGACGTAGGACGCAGTGAGCGGTACCTCGAATTAGGCTCTCAGAATTGTTCCCAATATTAACACAATGTTTTCAACGTCTTATACCTGATTAAATTGATACGATTGATAATATACAACAACTCTTTACCATAGTATTTATTTAAAGAAATGTCTAAGTCGCGTCCTCGTTTTGCCGTCTTACATTACATGTACATGCTTAATAATGTCCCTAATATTAAATCCCCGAGCCTGTAGGAAGTGAAGCGCACTTACTTTAGTACTCTTGGCGCGTTATTTGATGAACGTCTTTTACTGCCCGGCGAAAATATTTCAACAGTCCGTACTGGCGCTAAAGTCAACCTAATGCTCATTGATCGTAGTATTTATGGTCGTCTATCAATGTGAATTTCCTTTTCATCGATCTTTTCAATCTGTGACTCGTCCAACAATCGTAACAGCTTCTTGAGAAAAGACAAATAATGTTTATGCGCCATTTTATAATAGTAGAAATAGTAGATATTATATGAATAAATCAATAAAATACAGTTGGAAATTTTGAACGGGACCGCTGTTGTCCGGTTACAATTCGGAAAGTGTCGGATGACACTCGGAGCATACTCGCACCTATATGCTCGCACCATCAATAAAAGATGATAAAAGACCTTTGTATGGTATTCTTCAGAATTTCGTGATATGGTAAACGGTTTATTCTTTTTCTTGCCGTTTTTCCGAAATTATCACCTAGTACGATATCAAACGGCAGAGTCAAAGACAAGGTTGACGAACCTGATCGATACAATCCAATGGAGGATAATATGTGTTCGCATTCATGAACTCAAAAATTATGAGATAATATATAAAAAGCTTGTCGCAAAATCTCCATTCCGTTGGAAAACTAAAGAAGGGATTGTCCTGGACGAATTTAGCGGCTAATCATCTAAGAAATGAAGATTTTTATTCCCACAAGGTACATGTTGAAAGATAATTTTGAATTTTATTGTCAGAGGGTAAATTATAAGTGTGCATAATTTGTGCAATCGGGTATCTGAAGTCTGAACAAAATTTATCGTCCCTATTGCCAGGTGCATATCACCTACGTTAAAATTACAGCGGAGGGCGGTTGCCTTTCAGTGATCTTTTCCTTTTTTCCGAGCTTGTTGTTGATGTACGTTCCTGACTGTTTGGTCTCGTGGGCAAACAAAATGGCTGCAGTGCCAGCTTTACCAGTACCTATTTTGATAGGCTATATACTATATAGTATAAGCCTCGTTTTACGCTACACTTATGGGCACGGCTAAAATGGGTACTCATGCTCATTTCACAGGTCTGTCTTTGTATAGGTAGCCTGAACTCTAGTAAAAATATAAAATTGGGTATGAGTACCCATTTTGTTGTGCTGTGCCAGTAAATTAAATGTAGTATAAACAGGGGTGAATTGTGTAAGAAAATAAAATAATTGTGCTACTACCAGTACTCTGTTAATTCAAAACCCTGTTTGATATCACAAATGTAATATTTGATCATTAATCTATTAATTGTATATTACTACTGCCTGCATTGCTGTCTTATTTTTTAAATCCAGTCAGTTTATTCACCCAAAATTCATCTCAAGCAGGCAGAATTGTATGGGTTTAGTCATTCGTCTTAAAGTATTTGTGCCAAAACAGAAATAGAGTGACGTATATTATTATGAAAAAGCACAAAACCTATCTGCCATTAATACATAATTGCTAAAAATATACCAATCTATAATTGTTTTCCATGAAAATCAAACTTAAATTTATTGAAATGTAAACTGGGCCTATATATACATCTATTACATAAATCAACTTATGACATTTTTAAAATTATACAATACATTATACAAAATTACATAAACAAAATATTTGTATTGAATCATGCTTTATGGTGTGAAAACCTTAGATTATATTATATATACATGTGAAAAGTTTGTTTACAGCTTGCACTAAATGCACATTGCATGTTATAACAAACAATCTGAAACAAACTGTGCAAAAATATCTGAACACAACTCAATGTCATAGTTTTCCCTTCTTAGCTTTCATAATAGCACAAGTGAATCAGAAGTATTAATTAATTAATACAGTTACCCAAAAGTTTTATTGCGACTCTTGCACAAACAATTTTTGCTGTCAGGTATGGTGCAGTTGTTTGTGTTATTTTTGTACATCATTAAATCATTGTTTGTCCGATGCTTAGAGCAGTCATGTTATATGTAGACAAACATATAACTATCCGACTTGCTGTCTTCATTTAGAACATGGCTAATGAATTGTTTAGAATCACAACAGAAGAAAATTGCAGCGAACATTTTAGTGAAAATTGTTTGTGCAACAAAATGGCTTTAAACTTATGTCTGTTTACAAATTAAGGTCTTACTGTACACTTTCACTAAATATGTCATCAGTTTCAAAGTCACTATATGTTGCAATAGTCCTTCTAAGGTCGTCGCTCCATAATTGTCATTGGAATCACTTTCAAAGTAATCTGAAGAAAAGAGATCCGTTTAATAATTAATATAAGACATTCTTGTTATGTTGAGGTTATAATTGAAAACATAAAATAATAGAATTGGTTTGACGTCTGCAGATTTACGACTGATTCACACGATGACGTCATTCAGTTTTATCGCTGGCCATTTGTTTCCAGCAAAGACAATGTTTCTTAGTTTTTTAACATTCACGTAGCAACTTCACTTCTATAATTCACGATCAGAATCAGAGCGGCATTAACGAGAATGCTGGTGAAGAATTTGAAATTGCATTCTGGCTAAAATATCATATATAAAGAGGCAAGTTCAACAAGCTGCGTTCTGCTCTGAATAAAATATAAAAGGATTCAAACTTGTTTACTTCTTTTTCACGGTGTAGTTTCTCACATAATCCTTCACGTTTGTCCATGTTCTGTTTTGTACTATCCCGTGATTCTCCTCCAAAAACTTAACACACTCGTTTTTTTTGGGTAGCACTCCATTTTGAATGTGTTTTTGGAATGTTTTCAACGCTGCCTTTCTTTCTGGGGTTGTCCACGTTTTCTTCGCCACCATCTTTCGTTGCTGACCTATATAAATTATAGTAAATTCATTATAGACTGTATGTAATACAAGTTAACATAGTTAGCTATTGACCTGGGTAAGTTAAATTCGTTAATACATGATTATGGAACGGCTGACGGTCTTTCGTCTAGTTACGACTTATGAGTGACAAAATTGATTGTTCGTTACATATATATCAGCTTACCCGGTTGATAATTCAAATGTAAAGTCCATAAAAGTATTATGCCACTAATTTCTGCTGATAAGTTATTTTCATTTATTCTCTTTGTAGATCTTGTAATGAATGATCTTTTCCGAGATTTGTGGAAAAAATATTTGTATTCTGTTCAGCATGTTCCGATTTTGTATAAAGACAAAATATATCCGAGACAGGCGCGGAGAGTAAGTACAAATACTGCTCACTATTTCCAAAAGGTTATTCAATTTTTGTACAGTGCCTTAAGTAACATAATGTGGCAATAATAGCTTCAATTAACTAGGTTTGCCCTTTGCAGAATATAATCTGCCTGATTATGCATGATTTACCCTTCAAAAAATGGTCTGTGCCTTGTGCACAAAAGAAGGCCAAAAAATATCCTTAGCAAGACGTGGGATAGACCAACCTTACTCTATTGCCGAGTCTATAAAACAAATCTTCGCAGCATGCGTTTGCATGGGTATGGACTGTTGGTATATCGTTTTTAATTTGAAACCTCTGAGCATATGACTCTTGACCACGCATTATGATATGTTAATATCCACATTTTTCGGACAAATAAAAAAACTTTAATTCGTGCATGTGTTAACGAGTAAATATTTGTGATTTACCATATATGTGATTTACCAGATTGGAGGTCCGCATAGGGAAATATTTTCCAAGGTCTCAAAAATAGCTACTATACATATATATGATAAGCATTCATGGACTGCATGCATTCTATGTTTAATATTGTGAGAGTTACGAACTTTTCTGTCGCGAATCGGCTGCATGGTTTTGCTTTGTGCGTTAGATAGCATGTTATTCGAAGACGATAAAGAATTGATAACGATGCAATAGCAGAGGTGAAATTTAATGAGAGCAAATTTACTTAGGCCTGAGTAAGTGTCTGCTTCGTTCCTCAAGTGTTTGTCATTATGTTACAGTCAGTGTGGTTAACCGTTATACAAATTCATGCGTCACTGATGATGCAGAAATTAAAATTTTTGCAACAATCTTACCTGCCTCGAGGGTTCCCCTTTTCTTGTTACAATGTTTTTTAGACTTTTCAGTGGACTTGTTCGTTCCTAGGGTTAAAAAGTTTAAAACTGTCTAGCATTGAAAATTTAAGCCATTGAAAATCCCATACATGGAGATCTTATATGTAATATATATTGATTTTCTGTTTTAGAAAATATTGAACATTGCTTGGCTGAAAACAACCTGGTAAGTGAACTGATGATTTTTTTGCCAATTTACGTGCGCATCATATTGGCTTCAGGCCCTTATATTTTTTCGGATTGGATTTCGGACTTCTTTGTATGTGGGGATAAAGATTGACTGAAATTAATTGCAATTATGCAATGTTTATTTCGCTCATAAAATGGTATTTATAGTAGTTATACTATAAGACAATTGTACCACTTGCTCGCAAAACGATTTATTGTTTGAGAGCAATTAATGTTAGTAAAAGCCACATATGTAGCCTTACCCTTTTTGGTCGTTGTCCTTTTGCCAGCAGAAGTTAGCGATGGCGATGTTATGTTGCTCTGGGGGAATCGGTTTTCTACAATATATATATATTGAGATATTTAGTAACATAGAAAGTGCAATTTAGCAATTTTCTGACTTCAGCTTAAAGATTTTGGCCTGAAGAATTTCAGGAATACGTATAAAATATATGCAGTATAACACACGGTTGTTGAAGGCTTTGTTGGGTATATAATATGCTGTTTGAATTAAGCAACTTTACCTGTCGCAATGAACCGAAGGTTGATAAACTTTACTAACGGAGACCCAGAGACAGAGAGAAACGTGCCTTACTAGCGTTCGTATCAACGCGCAAATTCAGTTAAGAAAGTTACGAAGTTTATTTAGATCCGGATGCCGGCTGAAGCTATAACCACTAAGGGTACATGTAGTTGCCTATAGGATTTGCATATAACCTGCCTATATATAGGTTTTGTGTGATGTATTAATGTTCATAAATTGTGTCTCCAAGAGCCTGTTAACTGAAATTGAACAGTTTTATGTCACATACACAATATATATATATATATTATATATATATATATATATATATATATATATATATATATATATTATAATAATATATATATATATATATATATATACTGTGTATCACTAACCGCAATATTACAGCACCTGGATCACACCACCACTGGAATTGGTATAACAGTGTTACTTAGAAATATTTACCTTTATCTAACTCAGACTCGGCATCCTCTTCACTCTGAGTATTGTGAAAGTCTGGAATAAGATAAGAAATTTTAATTCTTCTTCTTCACATATTCTTATCATTACCTATACTAATCAGTTAATGTAAATAATTGTAAGTTGTCTGCCGTATGGCGGCGCTTATTTTGGTGTTTGATGTAATAATTTTATCATTCTGACAATACCTTGAAGTGTAATGTCCCGCAGGTTTTTCCCTTTAAATTCGTGTGCCCTCCCTTCATCGATGGCCATTAAGAGGTTACCAACTACTGCCATCTCAAGTGTGCTTTCTTGCATCCTGTAGAACTCTTTATGGATGTGCACGTCGTGGCCAAGATGAGTTGCCAGCCATCCCAATTCATTTTGATCCATGTCAACGAGCTGCGACACAGTTGCCACATACTTTCGGAGGTTGGTTGAAGTAATCACGTCGGGATTTTTAAGATCAACCATTTTACATGCATGACGTATAACATCGTTCCCTCGTAAAAACTGTTTTGAACTTCCGTCATTCACTGCGAAAACATAGGGATTTTCTTCGTTCACATTCCCATCTTCCCTTGTCCTGTTCAAGACAAGTATGGCAGCTTTTACATCAGGTGTCAGCAACACGGGAACTTTTCTGTTTCGTTTTCCAAGAATTTCCACCATGTCAAACCTAGAGTTTAATTTATTTTAGGATAATACGTCAGGTTATATAATGGGACTATAAGTTTCAACCTTTCTGGACTGTCACCGTTATACTATTATAGGTTTGCCTTGTAATGAAGCGCGTAAGTTGTTTTTCCGGTTTTCTCTACAATTAACATTATGCTGACTTATATAGATAATGAAAATGTAGCTAACTTTATCACGTACCGTTTGCAGAGTTCTCTTTCAGTGGCTGAAAGGGCAGAAACTATTTCCTCGTTGTGAATGTTGCCCCACAAAGGCCTCCCTTGGAAAGCATCGAGTTTCATTCGAGAAGCCTCCCCACCTGTTAACATGAAGTTTATTTGTTTAGTATAGATACATGTAACTTTGAATAATTTAATTATTTATCTGCCAAAGCTTATTTTTTCGCATTTAAAAGAACGCGAAAGTCATATTTACCACAAACAAGTACATGTGATATCCAAAAGTAAGAAAGGTGAAAGTATATGTTTTGAACAAGGCAAAAATGATTTTTATTGCCCTGTCCTTTGATAAGATATTATAATATAAAATAATAGCATTGAATAATATCAGTCTCCCAGAACATAAACATGAGCGTTTTGGTACCTCTCCGTTTATTGAACATAATCAGTCTTGCTAAGGCTGAATTAGCAAGTTTCCTCCAATTTTCTTGCATAGGGTTTTTTCTTCACATCCTCGCTAAGTTCCAAAATCTGCTCGTTGAGGAAAGTTCGCAGGGCTAGTAGGTCGTTTGTTATTGGCAGGAGTTGTGGCTTGATTGTGTTTTTTAAATGACAAATTATCCAGGGCTTGAGATGTTACTTTGGCGCTCCATTCTCCCTCGTACAGCTCTAGGAACAGATCGACGTCGTTTTTTGCTTCCATGTCTTTTCTTCGCAATGCCTGGCCTTTTACTACATACGCCGCTTTTTTTAAGGCATATCCGCATTTGGCAGCTGTCGACGGGGATTTGAAACGATCCGCACTGGTGTTCGGTGCTCCTGTGTATCCACCAAGATATCTTGCGCTGGCAAGATGGTTATCAAATTGTGCTGGCGTCAAACTCTTCTCAAGCGATAAAGTTGGAACACAACATAACTCTCTAACCTTTATGAGCAATCGGGCAAGAATACGCATTTGTTGTGAAACTTCCACAGCTTTTTCATTGCCGCGTTTCTCTATTAGTGTGGAGCCCACCCTTAGGATTGTTTCATCAGTTCTGACTACAGCGCTGACATCATCCATCGCCATTATTGCCAAGACGTTATCTGATAGTTGTTGACTAGCACCGGATGGAAATTTATTTGCTGCCAACAACAATCTTCCCGCATGCTGCAGCTTCTTGGATTTCATGGTGTGGTTTATTTCTTGAGCGAAAGGACATTTTGGGCAGTGTCGGTATAGATCCTTTTTCTGGAAGAAACCATGACAAAACTGACAGGGCAAGTAATTGGAGGGGTCTTTATCTTCGTTTTCTCCTGGTCTCCGCATTACCTTTAGTTCACCTTCATGAACCTCCAACACTTTCAAGTTGTGGTTAAAATTACCAAGGCGACACAATTTGTCTAGTACCAACTGGCGCGTTCTGTCGTTTTTTTCGAGAGCTACAATTTCTGCCACTTCTTTTTCATTTTTATGGACTTGGAAGAGATGTCGACCAAGCTTGCCAAATTCCTTCTCACAAAAGTAGCAGGCATTTTTTTTGTCGTATACTCTTCTTCCATCTTTTTCACTGCTTGACATTATATACACTACATGCAGATAAAAAGAAAGATTGATCAACAAAGAATTTCTTAAAATTTCTTGACTACGGCGCTGACATGACAAGACGTTATCTGACTGGTTGGAAAATTGTAAGGACTTGGACTATGTCTATATAGAGAGGATTGCAAGCATCAATTGACATGCACTATAAAATTAATTTACCTCCAGATTTCTTGATTGCTTCACTAGCGCTGCTGTCAGTTCTTATTAGGGACTTGTCTGTTCCATCTAAGAGATTTGAAAAATATTTTCCGGTAAGGTTAGAACTCATTTTTGAATCACGGATACTCCGTATAGGAGTATCAGGGAGGCATTTCTCGCATTCTTTAGTACCATTTACTCGGCCAACCTGCATTGCGCGCTTAGTATTAACAACTTGTTTATCTGGTTAGTCTACTAGCCACCAATTAATCGGCTATTCGTGCATCCGTGAGTCGTTTCATTGAGACGTTTGATTTGTAATAATCTTATAGATTTAGCTAGTTTAAGACATCGTACATTTACTGTCTTAAACAGTTTCTTCAGAATTGCAAGAGATAAATAAGCAATATCCCGATACGACTTATAGCTATGTGGTATTTTTCCCTTGAATATTTCTTAGCGTTTATAGTTTTTATTCCTACAATTTTTATATATAAACTAGCATGTGTACCTTTAAATGCATACTCATCGTCATCTTCAGACTCAGAATCTTTGTCTAAAAAGAAAATATTAAACTTAGGCTTATTAACCGACTACGACGTCTGTGCGAAAAGTATTTTGCCCGATATTTTGCGATACACATGACCTGATGCATACCTTCTTCATCTGTGCTAGGTACATACTCGTCACTGGAACTTTGGCTCTCTTCCTATATAAAATATATTTAGTACTTTTTATGTTGTAATTATAAGTTGCATGCACTCGCTTTCCATTTTTGTACCATATTCTTTTTCTCGTGCATATTTCTAAAATATGAGCTCAAAATAGAAAGGCAAAATGCCCAAAACGCGTTAAAATACCTCAATTTTAGAATTAGGACCTGGGCCAGTTTCGTTTGGATGAAGTAAATTATCTGCAAAATAGAGAGAATAATGCATAATTATATAAACCGACTTCACGTAAGGAACAAATTCGGGCAGGGAATACTAGCACTAATTTATTAAAACAAATTAAATTGACAAGGAATAGCTAGGTTAACCTTACAAATAGTTGTATAATGCGATATTCAGCATTGAGTGCAAAATTCTCAAAAATTCTATTTTTGTTGTTAATTTCATTTTTTTTAATTAACTATTATTATGCTACTCAAGTCAGAATGTTCTTTGCGCGTGTCCTATTTATGATATGGTAAGCGATCGGAGTGAATGTCCTGTGATATTAAATATGCAGCACTTGTCTCTTGTTGTTCTTTGTTCTGTCTTTAAACCAAGGATTTTTTGTCAAAAGGTATATAATTGATATATAAGTGCTAGAGCGAATATAAATTGGATAAACCTAAAGGAATTTTACCGAATGGAATTTTTTCAATTAACTCACGTTCACTCACCCGTATTCTGGCATTTGAAACACCTTACTTCTTGCCCATAGCCTTCTGGCCCTATTCCAACACCGCAAAATACATGGACAGCACGATGACATGATGCGCACATATGTGCCCCCGATACCTCCCCAAAGCAAACATGGCACTGATCATCTGTTATATCTAAAGTTTGAAATTACATGTATACTACGAAGTGCAAAAAATGTCAGATTGTTTATCTTTTTTAGTCAAGTTACAACGTTTACTTACTGGTAATCTGCATGGAATGATCATCGATCTCCATGGAAACTATAGTAGATTCATTATGGTGTTCTACATGTACGTAAACATTTATATTATATATTTATATATTGAATTATATGAATTATGTACATTACCTTGTACCAGCTAATCACATGCACTGATGTACCGCGTAAGAATAATTGCTTACACTATTGAATGTATATACTCCGAATATATTCAATTCCCGTGGTGTAACGTTGATGCAATAATCTTTGCTAAAGAGGAATATATAACTATAATTTATATTCTTGTATATAACTTACTCTGCTGGATTTGCCCATCAATTTCCATGGAAAATTCTGCACCGGTAGCAGAGTTGTCTTTTTCTTGTTCTATATTATAGTATATAAGCATAAACTTTTTAATGTATGATACATATTCCTAAAGGAAAACATTTTATAAATAACAATATAACGTTATCTTAGGAATTAAACCGTTACCATAAGCTTTCGATCAAACAATACGTGTAACGTAATTTTTTAATGCCATATTGTGAATTGGCAGCATGCAGATATATAAGTTATAGTTGATGTGCCGTTATATTTCATATGTATCTGGTATAGAAATGCATATAATCACATTTGCATGGGATTTCAATCAGATTACACAACATATGCAATTCTAATTAGATTTCGAGTATCTATCTATATATCTATCTGCGGCCAACGTTTTTGCAAACGGGTGTATATATATATATATATATAATATATATATAATATAATATATATATATATATATATATATCTTGACTGGTTTAAAACTTGTTGAGACCTACCAATGACACTTTCCTTTAATTTCTCTTGTTTATCAATCACTGACAGTGCTTTATAATTGTGCAAAAAAGTAATGGCAGTGTCATTATAAGTTTATTTTTTACTTATATAGATTTATATAGATGGTATACGAGACAAATATCAAGGGAAGATAGGGTGGCTACTTTTTGCGGATTCGTGAACAATGATATTGTCATTATTGTGCACAAGACACAAATATATGGCTGCGTTTATTTTTTCGCGTTTTCCTGTGAATATAGCTATTTAGCTATGCATGACTGCCACTCATTTCTGGCTTCAGCTAAGGTGGCTACAAATTCCCCTTAAAAACAAATGTTTATAGAATGCATTAAATGTACACTTTTTACTTACATGTAATCTGAGCGTAGTCATCTATTTCGTTGGAAACTGTCGCATCGTCATTTTCTTGTTCTACATATATGAAGGTAAATTTCAATGAAAATTTCAATACACAACTACTAAGGCTAACCAGAGGTCACACTATATAGACGGGAGTTATAATCAAAAGGTAACGGGTGCTATAATTTACGTTAATTTTTGTGGACATACATGATGGACCTTTCATAATTAAAATCGGTTTGTTTTGTTAAAAACTTTAAGCCTCTTCAAGTTGGTCATTCGAGGTAAAGCAGACATACTAATGTGAATGCACGAATATTTGGATCATTTTCTCGTTAAGCTGTGCATGCAGTATACATGCAGCTATACTTTGTTTTTAAATATTAAACTGATTTCTTTTCATTAGTTTATTTTGCCTCGTCAATTAAGTAGCCGTAGCTGTTCAGAGTTAAGAGAACGTTACATTTATATCATTTTTCTGGAAGAAATATTTTCACATCCAGTTTATATTCAGGGCATGGCCGACGGATTTCTTTTGTAAGTGTTACAAAAGAAATCCATCGGACAGAAATAGATATCTGAATAAACAGCCTCGCCCTCCGATTCTCGTTCTAGCTACGCCCCTCTTTACATCTATATACAGTGGCGTAGCCAGCCTGACGATTTAGTCATGCTACGCAAATTTTATATTATTATCATTATTCATTTCCTTAGAAATTCATTGTTTTCACAGTCAATGAACACCAAAATATTAGCATAGCATGACTAAATTGTCGGGCTCGCTACGCCACGGCATATATACCTGTCCGAGAATGTATATTATAACGTACATTAAATTTACAACACTTACTGGCAACCAGGACATGATTGTCTGTTTCCAAGGCGACAGACTCGTCATGGGTGTAGGCTTCGTTACATAGTTATAAAAATATTTCAAATGAGCACCCAACAATTAACAACAACTAAATGTCACCTCTGTATGAAATCTCTATGGCTAACAGCAATGGCTTGCTTTTTTATCAACTTATCTGATATTGCTTAGTTTTACTGCATGCATGAAAGTAGCTGCTGCCCTTGTTTTATTTTTTTATATATTCCTCAGATACAGGTTAAGAAAAGTTTCAATTGTGAAATTACATGAGCAATCACATACGTGTAATGACATAATCCTCCAAATGCCTTTGTGGAAACACAGGCGTGACACACGAAATATTACTCTGGTTGTTCGCTTGGCCTGCAAACGTAGAAAAATTTTATTAATGCTACTTTAACTGCATCTAGGCGTAAATGTCGTGCATTAAACTAACAACTACTTACTAGTAACTTGAGCATGATCATCAATAACCATGGATCCGAGGGGAGTGTCCTCATTTTGTTGGTCTACAAATCAGCGTATTTTCAATAAGCTTTTACAGAAACTAAAAGTCTTGTACCAGGCAATGTTCGTTATAGCAGGCACGCCGCAACATCGATAATTGGGGAGGCATATATTCATATATATTCGAGTTCTGCATTATTGCTTTCTTTTGAAATCGATTGTTTTTACGGTCTGTGAACTTGAATATATGAATATATATGCCCCCCCCCCAATTATCGTCTTTTATCGATCTTCCGGCGTCCTCTGCGTTATAGTTTATACTCACTGAATGCTACTTAAAAACAGTTCATTGCATTGTTTTATTATCGAAATATGAATATTATAATAATGATATTTTGCAATATTGAGTTTGACTATAATCTTCTATTAGATAACGTTACTACAAGATTTTACAGTACCCCGATATGAAAATAACGCCCTAAGGCACAAGGAGAAACCATGGGTGCTCTATGTGAACTGGGACTATAACTTGGTGGTCACCTTTGAAGCCAATTAGGAACCATGGTGCCATGAAGTCTATTTTTATTTTTTGCCTTCACGGCTGGCGATCGGTGCATGACGTAGCCAGAACATTAGTTGGGGGGGGGGCATATTCATATATTCACGATACGCAGGATTAATTTCTTTTCAAATCAATCGTCTTTACAGTCTTCTAACATGAATATATATATGAATATATGCCCCCAATTAATGATGCTGGCTACGCCACTGCTGGCAATCGCACCGAAAAAGAATAGAAAGGGACTCTGGTGCTCAATTCGGCTTCAAATTGGCTTCAAAGATGCATGTTTGCTAAGTAAATATAAACTCTATCTTTTCAGTTATTCTAACCAACCTTTGGCACTTTCATTTGCCTTCTCTGCGATCGTTAGCCCTGTGAATTTTTCTCGTTTGTGTTTTAATCGGTCTGTAGGGTATAATGGTTAATTAGAATTATAATAATTTGAATCCAGTGGTCAATTTTTAAAAAAGTATAAGTTTTCTTCAGACCGTATAAAATGGTTTGTCAAGTTTGCTAAGTTTGTCACTCATTTCGGTTGAGCTATAAAAGACATGCAAGTTTAATTTATGTCATTTATATACCCTTTTGAATTCGCCATGGAAGGTCCTTCACACCGTAATCGTAGCGTAACTCTTCGTTTTTACATAGATCCCTCTTAGCATAAATTGCCAAGTGAGGTTGACTATTAATGATGAGTCTTTTCATCAGACAATTCGCCACTCTTGCCTCGGCATCATTAACCAGTCTTCCAAGTCCGTCTGAATGAGTTGCATCGACACTGTAATATAATTTTAGTTAATATACATAAGAGTCCATAGTTGGAATTTTGTGTGTATATAAAACTCGTTTATAGTAACACGCATTTCAACCCGCAATTGTACCAACTGCTGCTAAGGCGTATCAATGCATCAGAATTCATAAAGATATCATGCAGTGAAACAAAAACTAAACAATTGTATAAGTTCATTGAAGATTGATTAATTTTCAACTTGGACATCTATAGTTCAAAGTACTATAATTGTGCTTGTGCATCTGAGGCATTTACCGTGCATAAGAACAATGGAAGTTTTTTGGAAGAAAATAATTATTATCCTGCCGAAATGATTGCACTAGTTGAAAGACTGGATTTTCAAATAAAATGACCTTATTTCGACCTTTCAGGAGAATTTGTTTATAGAAGCGACATTCTTCGGCTCCAGGCCGCGTAGGTGTAGCACTTTCAAAAAGAAACACCTAAGCCTGAATTTAAAACAGTCACAGCAAACATGACGATCGAGCCAATGTAGTAATTTAGGTTCAACGAAAGAGCACGTACAATACTCATTGTTTAAAAATATATTTCAAGCAAATTATTCAAACACTTATTAAGGGCTGCCTTCCACTGTCTCGTTTTTTTACGCGCAGAAAAATTTAAATGCTTCCAAATTTTGATTATATTTAACACATGGATCAACAATTGCATACTAAAATATACGGAAAACTAGGTTCTTTCGATATATTCATCTGGCTTTATGACATATATAAGGATTTAGACTTTTACGTGCGTGTACGTGCGTATGAAAATCGCGTAAGTGAAAAGCAGTCCTAAATGTTGAAGCAGTGCTTGGATGGACGTTATTAGCCTGAACATACCACAATGAGGCATTTCCTTGTTGGAAAAAGAAAAGAAAGCTTCCAAGGTCGTCAGGGTAATTCTTCTCTCTAATGTAACCTTCCTCTTGAGAAATTAATTCCCCTTTGTATTCTAGAAGGAAATCCCCTTTGGAGAATGTTTTTGTGGTAAAAACTCCTCGACCTGAAAAATGGAATAATAAAATGGAAAAATAGAATGACTTGATAATTATATGTATAAAGTTTATGATATAAGCGTAGCTGGCAATTGCTATATGGGCCGGTCTGCCGGTCAAGAAAATTAAATTATACTGATTTAGTACCGATATCATCATCGATGTATCTTTCCTCGAGGTGTTCTTCGTCTTTAGGTAGGGAGAATTGTCCTTTTCTCTATAAGATATAAAATGCCCTCTTAATATTAGGCTGCAGTAATCGCAAATGCGGCGCGCTCATTTTGGGGTGGTGCTCAATCTGGGGCGGTATAGGATATTAAACGGTTGCAAGAAAATATGGGTTGTGTGTTCGAGTAGTAAAAACGAGTGAGCGCATGGAATGAGTGAGATTTTTTTTTGACAAGAGAACATATGAAAAATCCATATCTTCCAGCGAATGTTCCGTTTATTATGGACAAAAATGAGAAGAAACTCAATAAATTATTAATAATAAAACAAAACAAAGCTGTAAAACAAAAAACACCCATTACATATTTTTTTTTATTTTTCACTGGTGAAATATGGAAAATATGAGTGTTATACGGTAGAACACCCATGCATGTCCATATAATATAAATACTTTTATTTTAAACGCTACCTTGTTTCTGCGTGTTGATCGCATTCCTTGGTCGTCTGACATGGTTGGTCGTTTGGCAAGTTCTTCACAAAAACACCAAAGGCAAATGGAGTTTTAAATTAGAAAATTTTGGGAAATGGAGTTTCTAAATTAGAAAACGTCAACTTAGCGATTCTAAGTTATAGAAATAACATGCTACCAAAGTTAACAGAAATGTTTACTAGGACAAATTCGATACTTCATTTAACATTACCTAATCAATTAAAAATAAATGGAAAATTTGCCTACGGGGAGTTGTGGCTTGGAATGACCTTCCGCTGCAGTTTAATCATCGAAAATTGTTCGTATATATATATATATATATATATATATATATATATATATATATATATATATATATATATATATATATATAATTATATATGTATGCATGATCTCTAACTTCCAAATTAGCTAAGTAGCGAATATAGACTATATATATGAATATTGCAGTTCAATTTCCATTAATACTTTTTTATATAGTTTATGAGATAAAATATAGTACATTTTTCAACTGAAAAATAAAGTCAATTAAATGAAAAGTAAATAACGCCTTAATCAGCTCCCACATGCGCTTGACCTATAGATAATTTGCGACGAATGAATATACCGCGGTGACAACTGCTTCGGTGATTATAGCACTGTATTTTATTCATTTTGCAAATGCACGATAAAAACAAACCTTTAACGAAATACTTTGAGTAAATAAATATTTGAAACTGAACGAATAAATGTTCGTTTTTTGCTTGAAACACACATGAAAAATGGAAATATAGAATGTTCTATAGTTGAAAGCTTCGAATTCGAATATCCAATATATAATATAAAACTTCTAATAGACAAATTCGTTGGAGCATTTATTATATATGTTTATATGCAAGTGTTTATATGAAAGGTTTTACACTCACCGCCTCGGTTGGTAGGTGGGGGACATCCTGTTTACCAAAGAGGATAACCCTATAGTGCATGGTAGGGACAACGTTTATCCATGTAAACACCTTGTCTCGGCCTCCGGGACTAACTTTTCCTACCGGTGCCTGCGCAAAAACTAGGGGATAGTAAACGCTTGGTAAAGTTGTCCCTATACCCTTGATCATGTACAGCCCTTAGTGCTACGAAATGGAGGGGTTGTTTCCAATTAATAGAAAACATATTTTTCATTTTTTTTTACTTTTGGAAACTTATGACGGATTTGCTAATTAAAACAATTTTTATGGCTTTGCCGTTTTGGTTTTTGTATCTGCGTAGCAGATATATTGCTATCGTCTTGTTCACTGTTCACTGTTCACTGTTCACTGTTCACTTCTATCCAATAAACGGCTAGTATTATGAAAGATTACGTCAGGAATGCTACGATGCCCGTTCGCAGGCTGAACAGTAAACACATGGAAACGGGCAGAAAGCAGTGATTTCAGTGATTGTATTCGATTCTATAATCTATAGCTCAGTCCTGATTTTTATCTGTCGTTTTGGCACTTTTTGCTTGGAAGTTGAAAAGGCTTTTGATTTTGTAGCAACTAGGAACGACCGTATATCCTGACATAGTAAGTATTTTAATCATGAATTCTAATATTTTAACCAGTGCGAATGACGGTACTTCTAGTATATTTTGTGAGTTGCATGGATCGATAATTTATACTTTACGAAAGAATCTACGTCTTAGGGCTAAACCATTTCAGAGGACTTATGAACCTCTTCGGAGGGCGAAACAACCTCTTCGGAGGGCAAAACAACCTCTTCGGAGGGCAAATCAATCTCTTTGGAGAACAATTGAACAATCTCTTCGGAGATCAATGCAATTAGAATCTCAGAAACGTAAGCTTTTACATTCAAGACCTGTCCACAGTAGTTGTATTAAATGTATAAATTCAGATCGCTGTGTGTGTAAATGTAATTATCGATTTTCTGTGAGATCTTGTGCAAGAAAATTAAGTCAACCAAATATGAAACGATTTAGAAGAGATCGCGAGCCTTCTAGATTACCTTTGAAGCGAATAATATTAGCTATGAGAAAGAGGAAAAATAGACCACTTCTAAAGCGTTACTTGCTAATGTCTGCACCCAAGTCTTCTACTTTAAACAAACTAGTGGGCAATTTCAAGGAATATTGTTTTCAATTTATGCATACGCAACATACATTTCTTCAGTCATTTGCATATATTAGACCATCCGTTAATTTAGTTCAGAGAAAGCATAAAATTAGAAAACATTCTTTATGCAATCAATCAATAAACAAAAATAGCAGTTTTCTCTGTCAGTATAACATATGTGAAAATAAACTGTTGTTGTCAGGAGATATTGAATTAAATCCTGGTCCTGTTAAAAATACCAACATTGTTCTGCCATCAAATATAGTGTTAGCACAAAGGCTAAGACGCTATCAGTTAATACCATGTGATGTTGGTGGGGGTGGCGACTGTTTCTTTCGAGCGGTGTCTCATCAGTTATATGGTGACCCTGAGCGCCATTTAGAAGTTAGAGCAGTCGGTATTGCATATTTGCGAGACAATCCTCAGAGATTCATTGAAAGTAATACTGAAAACTCCTTGTTAGATTATCTCAATACTATGTTTTTTTAAACAGAATAGCTATATATAGCTACCTATAAATTTGCCAAATGATGATAAATTGTTTGGGCCAAATGATCATAAAATGATCATAAAATGATCATAAAATGATCATAAAATGATCATAAATCATTTGGAAAAATGTAGTTTTTCCTTCAATAATGCTGGTGGTATAACTAAAACCCTGTCTTTCGATTTTTTACGTGATGAGCAACATGCAGTCCGCCCGTGCAAATTCTACTAGGACTTGACTACATACATGGAAACCTTATAGTCCGAGTACGCCAAAAATAGCACGAGTGCTGGGTAACACTGTTGCGACATAATCAAGATGAGACGTTTGTCATGTGTCAAGTCGTGTATTTATTTGACGACCTCTAGGTATAGCATTTCATTTTGAACTTAGGTTTGGTTGTGAGCGCTATAGAAGTGCGTGGCTGCGTGCCTTGCATGGAAATGTTGTACGTAGATATTACAGTGTTATGCTGTGGCTTTATTTATTCATTTGGCTATAGTTGTCTATATTGCTTGATGAATTGTTGGCTTGTAAGGCGTCAGTGAAGTGCCAGTTTGAATGTCATGGGAAGAATATTAAAGTCTCGCTATTCACAGCCGAATGTTTTATGCAATGTTTTCCAGCACGGAATTTGGTTTCATTGAAAGGCTCAACAGTGGCCGGTAAGTAAGATCATGCAGTCTTTTGTAGGCCGAAATTAGCGTGATAATTGTGGAGGGGATGCGTATTCATACATTCTCTTGTGCCCAACGGATTTCTTAATCTGTCGGACAGTCGGACAGATTGGTAGAATGAAAATATATGCTTCCCCCTTAATTTTCGAATCTAATTTCGGTCCTGCTTTTGTCAATATAAAGTAGCCACGTTTGAGATCTACATAATTTGTTTCGAACATTTTGTAAATTTGAAAGCTTAGTTTGTATCTATAATCTATTATCGCATGCAGTCCTCTATAGAAAGTTCATACCTCGCACGATTGTCTATGCATGCATGCAGTAGAGATAAAGTTTCATATGGGGTGTTGAAAATTGATAAAGTGGATTAACTCATAAGAATGTGAATATAATAGTATCACAAGAGCAACAGCATAA